GAAAACATAATTATTAAACAGATAGACTCACCGGTTACGTAGTATCCCTAGAGTCTCATGACTATTCCACGAAAGACTTAGACTCTTCAAACTACAAATCTTATTATGGTGTTTTCAGTGCAGTGAGCAGTCTCATGTTACAAGAACCTATATGCTCAGCAAAGGAACGAGAAGAAAACCGAACCCTATAAAGAGGTAGGTCACTCCGCTAATGACTCCTTGAATGGGCTGCATGTGTCTACTAATGATGGGCCAATCAAAATTCAATAAAAAAAATAACAGATGGAGTTTTTTTATAGTAATCTGCTCTAGGCTGTATTAATCATGATCAACCATTACAGAATCCAGCTCCAGCTGGTCAAGTAAACAGATAGGAGGTCGGTCGAACCAAACCTTAGCTACATTCCAGTTCATATCCAAATGCGCCATTATATGTGCCGCCTCGTTCGCTGTCCGAGAAACATGCTTACACTCTCCATCTCCTGTCTCCTCGAGCAGACGATGAATGCTCCTGCAAACCACGCCAAACTCCGTCTGATCATTAGCCGCATTACTGACGCAGTTAACCACCGACAAGCAATCTGTCTCAAGAATGAGGGCTCCCAGTCGATGCTGTCGAGCAAGCTGCAGGCCAAACTCGGCTGCAAACGCCTCGCCCATTTGGGGATCTTGTTCCCTTTTGATTCTTTTCGCTGCCGCCATCAAGAAGTTTCCGTTCGAGTCACGAGCCACCACCCCTAAGCCGCAGCCACCTGCAAACACGCCAGCATCGGTATTGATTTTTATGCGCCCCTCATCCGGTCTTTTCCATCTCCTCTCCACTGGCCGTATTTGCATCGGCAAGCTAGCACCTTGCTGCTGCCTATACTCCTCCAATAATGACACCGCTCGTGGGAGGATATCAGCTTCTGCCAACTTTGTTCCGTTGAACATATGAGCATTCCTCTCTTTCCATAGCATCCACAAGAGCATACTCCAATCTTCGAAATCCTTATCCGACACGGAATGCGCCACCTTCGTCACCCAATCCAAACTATGTAAATCACTTCTCATATTAAAACAATGCGCCACATGAGATGTTCTCCACAGCCTGCATACCCATGCGCATTCTCCAAAAATATGTACTTGGGTCTCCTTCATGTTACAAAACGGACAAGCATCGCCTCGTCTTTGACTACGAGCACTCACATGATCCCCTGTCGCTAAAGAGTCTCCGGCAAAACGCCACATAAAGTGTTTCACCTTTGGTGGCACGTTCATTCCCCAAAGTTGTTCCATAACCTTGGATCCCCCGTCGGCACCTGTCCGCTGTCCGCTCGGAAGTCCTGCAGCCATTTCTTGTAACCTTCCCGCGCTGAGTAGTCTCTGCCTTTACTCTCCGCCCAAATTAACTAATCTTTCTCAAGGTGTCCACGCAAAGGAATACGGACGATGGCTTCCGCCATTGATGTTGTAAAGCAGCTTTCAATTAAGTCCCTATCCCATTGCTCGGACTCCTCATCAATCAGCTCCCGGACTGTCGAGTCAACCGGGATTCCCATAGGAGGCGATTGGACTACGAAGCCAGGCGTAGTGGGAATCCAGCGATTACCCCATACCCTTACCTGCAATCCATTACCTATGCGCCACCTTAATCCGCTCACAAGGAATTCCTGAGCACTCATCAAACTTCGCCACACATAACTCGGCCGATATCCCACACTTGCGTCCATAATCCCTTCTTTTTTATGATATTTGGCCTTCAGCACTCGGGATATGAGAGAATTTGGTCGGCTATGCAGGCTCCAAAGTTGACGCGCAAGGAGAGCTGTATTAAACCCTCTTAGATCCCGAAAACCAATACCCCCATCCACCTTTGGCACAATCAGTTCCTCCCTCGATATCCATGGAATTCGTTTCTCCTCAGCTTGTTGCCCCACCAAAACCTGGTAATAAGTCCATGGATGTCATCGATAATGCCCTCCGGAACTTGAAACACAGACATCGTGTACGTTAGTTGAGCCTGGGCCACAGACTTTATCAGTACTTCCCTTGCTGCCACCGACATCACCCGTTCCTTCCAACCCGCCAGCTTCTTTCGAACTCGTTCCTTCAGGTATGTAAACAATGCTTTCTTAGACCGCCCAACGTCCGTGACCAATCACAGGTACTTATTGTGCTTCTCTACTCGACGCATACCAAGAACTGAACTCACTTGAAGCTGTTGGTGCGGCTTCACACTACCACCAAAAGTAACCTCCGACTTCTCCAGACTTACAAGCTGACCCGACTCGTTCTCATAATCTTGCAGGATCCGCAGGAGTTCTTTGCTCTCTTGAACTGTAGCCGTGGCAAAAAATATAGAGTCGTCAGCGAAAAAAAGATGTGAGATCACCGGGGCCCCCCTCGCCACCAATATTCCATGGATCTTCTTCTCCTCCACCGCCTTCAAAGTATACGAGCTTAACCCCTCTGCCACTAGCAAGAAAAGACACGGGGAGAGAGGGTCCCCTTGCCTCAGCCCTCTACTTGGCACAATCTTCTCCGAACGGTGCCCGTTAACAAGAATAGAGTTTGTTACTGACTGAACACACATCATTATCAGGCCAATCCATCTTTCCGGGAAACCCATCCTTCTCATCAACCCCTCCAAAAACCACCATTCCACTCGATCATATGTTTTCGTCATATCAGTCTTGCTGCGAAGTATCCTTTCTTATTCTTTGACTTTATCTTCATCGTGTGGAAACACTCGAATGCAGTCATCACATTATCCGCTATGAATCTACCTGGGACAAACGCACTCTGCTCAGGAGAGATTATCCCATCCAAAATCACTTTCAAGCGGTTGGCCAGAACTTTCCCAATTAACTTATACAACACGTTACATAAACTGATGGGGCGAAAGTCCTTCGCCATTTGCGGGTCCTTCACTTTCGGAATAAGTGCAATGAGAGTATGATTAAGGTCACCCGGCATCGTCCCTCTCTCCAAAATTTGCACCAGCATTGTCGCGACCTCATCTCCCACAAGGCTCCAATATTTTGTGAAAAACAAGACCGAAAAACCATCATCTCCCGGAGCCTTCCTCTTACCAATTTGTTTTAGCGCTATGAAAATTTCATCCTTTGTGAACTGGCTTATCAGCTTCTCATTTGCTTCCACCGATACCCGCGAGCGAATGGAGTCAAGAACCGGGGTCATAATTGGGGGCTCCCCTGCCGTAAACAGGCCTGCATAATAGTTTATGAGGCATGAGAAAACCTGTTCCTGGCCTATCCACCATTGTCCCGACTCATCTTTTATCTTTTTGATAGTGTTTCTTCTCCTCCGTGCCGATGCTTTGCGATGAAAATAATTCGTGTTCTTGTCCGCTTCTTTTAGCCAATCCACCCGGGACGACTCAGTTTGAAGTTGTTGTCTCTGATCTAGAATTACATCTGATTGCTCGCATCTTTCCAGAGCCTGCAGCGCTCGTTTAATTTTAGCTTTCTGCCTACGAAAATCAGCTAAATCCGTAAGGCTCCAGCTGTCTAACTTCTTGCTCATTTGGCTGATTTTGCTAAACACATCTCCCATCCCTGAATTCCATGCTTCCTCTACAGTCTGATTGCAACTTTCATGTTGTAACCAGTGAGGTTCAAAACGGAATGACCACCCCCACTTTACCTCCTCATCTTCCTCACCCAGTGTTTCACAAAGGATTGGTAGATGATCAGACCTTGTACTATCGAGGTGGACCACTCTAGCATTTGGCCACTTCTCCCGCCACCTCTCGTTTGCCAAGAACCGATCTAACCTTTCCTCTATATAACCGCCCCTCCTTCTCCTATTCTCCCACGTGTATGGATAGCCCGAAAAACCAATGTCCTGCAAACCTACATCAACAAGACAGTCAGAGAACATTCTCATCTCCACCTCAGCTGGCGGGTTACCACCTTTCTTCTCCGAACCGGCAAGGACTTGATTCAAGTCCCCTCCGCACAGCCACGGCCCCGCCCACTGTGCTGCCAGCTGCCGAATCATCGCCCATGTCTGTTCCTTTTCACTACTTTCTGGCCAGCCATACACACCCGTGAACCGCCATTCCCCTAGCACCACATCTTCCACTTTTACATCAATATGGTTTTTGGTTCTCGACATCACCGTAACTTCAACCTTATCATTCCACCAGATACTTAATCCGCCCGCACGACCCCCGTTTGAAACATCGGTAGGCCAGCTCTTGCCATTCTTATACCCCAACTCCTTCCTAGTCAACTCATTCTCATCACACAGTTGACGCGTTTCCATCAGAAACACGATCTGCGGGGAAGCTTGTCGCTGTAGCGACTTTAAGGATCTCACTGCCCGTGTGCTCCCCAGTCCATGGCAGTTATAACTTAAAAGCTTCATTTGGATACCGAAGGGGATCGGTTCCCCGCACCATCAACATTGTTCATTGGTTTTGCTCCTTTCGTATTCCTCTGAGACCCGGTTACCACCCCCGGACTTTTTCCAGAATTCACTGCTTCCTCTACAACTTCTTTATGCTTACTATGGTTCACTCTCTCCCCTGTAGCCTTCACTTCTTTTTTCTTTTGGCTATTCCCCTTCTCCCATTCACCAGCAGAGGCGACTCCGTATAATTAACTTGCTTCCCTCCATTATTTCCCTTCATTTGCTCTTCAGAATTCACGTCCACCACCCCCTCCTTTGCATGGAATGCATGGAAACAATTACTATTTCCAACCTCCACCGAGCTACGTTGAATAAACCCTCCCTGCCGAGAAGAATTCCAGCCTTTTCGCTGAATCACCATCCAGTCACCATAGGTCTTACCCTTCGTTAGGTCCTGTGTTGGGCTCGTTGGAGCCTCTTCCCCCATGTTATCCTTCTCTCCTGTCATATCATGGCAAGAGCATAAATCTGTCGACTGCCCATACTTCCCACAGTCAGTACATACCTTATCCAAGCCTTCATATTGTATAATATATGTGACCCCTTCAATTTTGTATTGCGACAGTAGAGGTCGCGTTAAGTCAACTTTCACACACTCGACCAAACTTCCCCCTTGCTCCTAGCTTCGTAGCTCGGTCCACCCTTATAGGTTTCCCGATAGCCGCCGCAATTCTCATGACTGCTTCCTTGTTGATAAATTCAGTGGGCAACTCCGGCAACTGTACCCACACCATCGTTGAAAGTACCTTTGTTTTCCAAGGGTTAAAACCCTTAAACCATCGATGAACAATGAGGTAGGTGTCGCCTAGCAGCCACGATCCACCCTCTAACGCAAATTCATAATCTTTCTGATTCCGAACACGAACCAGGAAGCAGTCGTTCTTCATGTCCGATATCTGTAATTCCCCGTTCCTTCCCCATAAGAAATTCAATCTTTTAACAAGTGGTAGGTATGACACTTTGCGTCCCAAACCTTTCACTACCAGAGCCGACCTCCACTCACGTCTCCACCGTATCTTCTCAGCTGCCGGGAAACATATTGTGGGGCATGTTGGGTCATAGTTTTCTTCATCTTCTATATCATCTTCTTCTTTCTCCCTCTGGTTGATTGCGCCCGTGGTCATCAGCTTGCTCCGTTTCCATCTCCAGTTCCGTAACATCTTCCACCTCAACCACTTCCGGCGCCTGAGCTGTAGCCCTAGGTCTTTTTTTAGCCTGGGTGGATTCCTTAGCGTTCTTCCCGTTTGGTGACGAAGAGACCTCGGCCGAGCGTCGGACCCCTCCAGCGACTTCCGGGGATTTGCCTTTGCCGGTGGGCGCCGGTGCCGGCGCCTCCGCCGCCATCGCGCGAAGAAAAAACCTAGTTGTCGCTCTCTTTCGCCTTCTGAAAAATCCCCTGAAACTTCGGAGCCCCCGAGAACTTCTATTAATTCATAATAAAAACAAATAACAGATGGAGTTGTATGGCCTTTTTCGCCTTCAAAAATTCTTGAACTCTCTTTAATTTCTGCTAGGGGTATTTTGGTTCATTCAATATTTCAATTCAATAATTTTTTTCTTTATTATCCCGCCGAAATGAAGCTTCTTTCTGCAGTTTAATACATTTTTAGTCAGGCTTCTCACTGGTGTCAGTTAAAGTAATCTATTTCTATAGCCAGTGAATGAGAGAAAATCTTCACTACACCCGGTGCACCATGTCATTATGCCGCTGTGGTGCACCCGGCCAATAGAGATTTGCCACCTATAAAATTCATATTAATTAGTTATAATTTCTAGGATTAAATTGCGGTAATTATTTTTACGTTTCTCTTTCTTCATTTATTCACCTATCTAAATCATCTTCTTTCTTCTTCTAGTTTCCTGTGTTCTTCTGGTTCGCTCCTTTTTATTTATTCATCAATCTAAATCACCAATAACCAAAAGTACCCTTTTCCATGAAATAAAAAAGATGTCATTAACCCAAGCATGGTTATTAGTTAATAGATACTCTATTTGATACATGTATACCCATACTTATTTATCTGTTTAAAACTTCCGTATTCGTATTATTGTCATGTTGGTTTTTTTTCATTTGATGGCTCCCGTACTGAAAACGTATAAAATCCATTTAATACGTTTAATATTCGTAATTAATGAATTAAATTTTTAACTTTACTATTATTTATTTTTATTTATTTATTTATTTTTAAAATAATTAATTTTTATACTTTTATGACTATTAACACACTATTACACGTAACATTAACTTAGAGACGAAGTAAAACATGCGTACGTAGTTTATAAGTAACTTTTTCATATCGTATTTTACTAACTATGAACCCACGTCTTTTATGGGAGCTTTGAGAATTAAGGTTCCACTGGCAATGGCTTTTGTGTTGATTGAACAAAAAAGATCCACTAGAATGGTGTTTGCAAGCTTTTGTCATGGGCGTTGACGTAGTCAGGATTTCGTTTATGTTTTATGTTGACTAAAGTATTTTTAGTCAATGAAAATGCTCTAATACATGATCATCCTTCAACTATGGAGGATGTAAATTAGTATATTATATGCCTTTTATGTTATAGAGCATGAAACTGAACTAACAACTGTTAACCAACGGTTCTATAACGGGTCACTCCTGAATAATAAATTACTGAAACCAAATGCTTTAACCTTGCGAATACTAGACTGGATCGTATATGATAAACGACAAAACTATTTGATATATTTTATTATAGTTTGATGGTTGGAATTTTTTTTGCATACTATAACTTCTGGAAAAAAAATATTTGATGGAGATTCACCATAGTAGTTGTTCTACTATATAAGAGAGAGTGTTTAGGAGAAAGAATAACATATATATAATGGTTTCCTTCATAAAAATAAACAATCATATGTGCTGATTTGGTGCACTAAATATGGAAATGCTGAATATTAACTAGAATTTAGGATAGAGAGAGGAGAGAGGATCGCCGAACGGAAAACAGCAGCAACTATAATTAAATTAAGTTATTCCACATGTCTAATTCCTATTGGTTGGGAGCATCAACAAAGCAAAATGAAGCGGTGCACCGGGTGCACTAAAGATTTTCTCGAGGATCGCCGAACGGAAAACAGCCGCAACTATAATTAAATTAAGTTATTCCACATGTCTAATTCCTATTGATTGGGAGCATCAACAAAGCAAAATGAAGTGGTGCACTGGGTGCACTGAAGATTTTCTCAGTGAAATTAAGCTCCATAATTAAAGCGCCCTAATAATAAACAAAATAAACTACCGCCCCATTCTCCTTAGTCTTTATGCTCTGCCAACGTCGTTGACCCATACTAAACAACTATCTTATAGTTATAACCCGGTCCGTTGTAGATATTTGATTATTTGTAATGTAATAATGATGTGGAAAATATAAAAGTTTGTCTTTTCATTTTTAATAATTTTTAATTGCCACGTCACATATTTAACGATCAACTATGAAAGTTGGCTGTCACGTAATCTAGAGTTAACGGAAATGGACGAAAAGTGACCAAACTTGAACCATTTAACTAATTTGAGTGACCAATATTAAATTTAAATATTTCCAATGACCAAACATGAACATTTTTTGTAATTTCAGTGACCAATCATGCAATTAACCCAAAACAAATATAAAGCACAATATGAACCTCCAAGAAAATGGAGTACTCGAACTTTGTGTTAATGTTGGCATGAGTTCCCGATTAACCCAATCAACACACTTTCGACAGTAGGAAATGTATGAATCACCCAAGAGTCAAACAACTAGAGTTTTGAAAGAAAAAGAATGGAGGAAGTGTGAGCCAGGGGAAAAGATCGAGTTAAGTAAGTTGACTTTATTCGGATTAGTACTTACTACATAGTAACGATATGACTAAGCACACTGATCGACAGGATATATGGTCTAGATTAGAACCTGCCAAATACATTGCTAACTGGGGAAAGACCTAATCTCCGAAATAAACTATCCAGGATCAATGTCCTAGCATCATTCACAGAATATCAAAATTGCAATCATCAAGACAAACTGCAAAGCGAATGCATGGTGAAGCCTGTCTCATCCTCAACATTACCACTCTAGACTTACTCATACACGACCCGTGCTGTTTCTGATGCACAGTCATATTGTCGAAGCTCTTCCAAGAGCATGAAATGTTCATCCCACTGCGACCGAAAGATGGGCGGCTTAACGACAATCCTGTTCAGTCGTGGGGCGTTGGCCAACACAAACCTCAATGTGTCCAGCTCGAATTTGGAGCCACTACACCTCCCCCATGTTGACTTCCCAGAGACGCGGGCAATAGCTATCTTCAGCTTTGGGATCAGGATAGCAATCCGTTTCAGATTCCAACTGAACCGATTCCCTCTCAAAAGTTAAGCCTTCTAGGCTGCAAGTTTCCATCTACAAAGGTTTATAATGAAAGAACACACATCAGGCTCAAAAAGATTTTGAAAGAAGGAACGAAAACATATTTGGATGTGGTGCAAAAGGAATGATGAGTATCAGAAGACCAACATTGATTCTAAATTTGTACAGGTTGGGAGAACTCCGGATGAGACAAAGGAGAACCTTGAGCTGACTCAAATGGTCATCATCACGAACTATATCGAACTCACCATCACAGTCATCATAACACTTGCGAATGTCAAGAACTTCCAAGCCATGAAGAACATCAGAAAGCCTGCCTGGAACAGGACCTGCAGCAAGTATCTAAAGAGAGAACCAAACACAAAGGAATGAGCTGAACCAAACCAAGATTCCAGGTGCTTTAGTGAATGAAATGTTGAAACAAACTTACTTTGAGGCACTCAAGGCTAAGATTCAAATGCTGGAGTGCAGGAAGAGCAGCAAATACAGAGAACATATCCACTGTAGATATGTCAGTCTCGGATAAGGGTAACATCTCTTCCACTTGAATTGATACCACGGAAAGCAGTGGCGTACACTTGAAGCTAATATTTTTTAAACCATATGCCCTTAGGATAAACACTTTGAGACGTGGTGCACCTACAACTTCTAGCTTACGAGGACCCTCAACGAAGGAAACCCTCAAATCTTCAAGCAGTGGGCATTTTAGAAGAAAACTCCGAAAGAAATCATCAGGCAAAGATACTGTTTCAAGCTCAAGAACGATCAGCCTGTTGAATCCCACAAACCAAGATGGTACTGTGAATCGACATTCACGCAGTATCAGACTATCCAGTTGAAAAGCGAAAAAGAGGGGACATCTGATCTCATCAGTGTAGCAACATTCAGGGCGGAACTTAAGGGAAAGTTCTAAGATGGCTTTGTTGGAAAGGTGAGCCATCAAGTGATCAATATTAGCATAGGGTGTTAATCCAGCAATTGAAAGCTCAAACTCTGTTATAGGCCCATCATGAACCTGCAGAGCTTCCTGAATTCTCGTGATTACCTCATTCGTATTCAATGTTGAAGATGAATTAAAGCGACGATCAAACACAAGGCGGGTGACATTCCTCCAATGGTGCCTCCATTCTCTCGACAACAAACTTGTTCTCCCTGCTTCTTTTATGGGCAAGGAGGTGAGGATCAGTTGTATCACATGGGCGGGAAGGTTACTAATTCTATCAACCTTCGACTCTCGGAGATTCCTCTTCTGGACCATATCGTTTCTACACAGAACCAGGAACAAGAAACCAAGTCCAACGATTTATATGTATAGAAAACGACGCAAACCCTAACCCATAAAAGCTACCCTTCAAAAGTCCTAACTCGTGAAATGGCATGACATGAGGAATCACATTACCTCGCCAAGGGTAGCTGGATGAGTGAACTATCAGCAAGACTCGGAACCAGTAAATCCCCAGAATTGGGTTTCAATTGGACATGGTGCCGCTGGTCACCGTATATACGGCAGAGGATTACCCAGTGAGAGAAGCCTAGTTATGATCCTACTTGGTTTGCGAAGGAGAAATTGTTAGGGAAACGGTAGGAAAGAATCGATCGAAGGCGTGATTAATCACTCTCCTTAGAGTGTTATTTGCCCCCACTACAAATTGCTGGTAGGCTCGAGCAAACCACCCCCAGGAGTCCCTTCAATTTTAAGTCTGGAAGCAGCAATCTTGCAGACTTTTGTGTTTGCGAAATAGAGAAGGAAAACCGGAAGAAGAAGTAATCTCTCGTTATCAAAAGAGTTATGGCAGCCATCTATTTATAGTAGTGAAACTGGAAGTTACCTTCCGAAGAGACACATCCTTTCACATAAAAGGTAGTTACCTTTCCCGAAAGGACACATCCTTTCACAGAAAAAGGGAGTTACCTTTATGGAAAGACACTTCTTTTCACAAAATTCAAACGTTTAATTAATTAATTAAACTGCCAAAAGACTTCATCTTTATACTTTACTTCTCCCATCAATGTCGTATTACAACTCTATTGACTAACTCTAACAATCCCCCACTTAGTCAACAAGAGTTGAGAATATCTGCCTCGAACAAGTAACGCATACATAAAGGTATCTTTTCGATTTGAACCTTTACCTAGTGTAAGCAACTCAAAGTTGATAACGAATCAGTGACGGGCTTAAGCCTAGGAGTCACGATCCAAAGCTATAACCGGAGATGCCACACACGTACTTGTCTCTTCTCTAAACCACAACCACCAACTAGGGTAGCACTATTATGGCCATGTGCTAATCCTGTTTCATGAGCATAGACAAAAGTTGACCTCTACTTTTGTTATAGCGGCACCACTCTTAATGCTCACATAGGTGACATTCCCAATGAATTCATTAAGAGTTCTATAACTCATCTCAAGAGTTCTATAACTCACCCTTCTTTGGACTAATTTACTTGTACAATAAAATAGTACCTCAGTTAGAGTAACTTGTTATTACCACATTGAACCTTTTAATTAGTGAATACCTAAAGAAAAGGTTGGGTACCCATTACTTCTAACATCACAAGAGGTCTCAATCCCTTCCCTTGGGATGTCTCATAGATCAATGCCTCTTGGCTATTCCTTGGTAAGAGGATCTGCCAAAATATTGCATGATCGAACATACACAATAGAAATGACTCCATTAGAAATCAAATATCTAATGTAATCATGTCTTCGACTAGTAGCTCTAGACTTACCAATTGTAAATCTTGTTATAAGCTCTCGACAAAGTAGCTTCACTATCACAAAAGACAGAAATGGCTGACAGCAATTGTGGCCACAACTCTATATCTAACAACATGTTTCTTAGCCATCTGCCTCTTTTCCCGCCTCCGCAAGGGCTAGAAATTCATCTTTCATGATGGAGTGTAATACATGTTTATTTCTTCGAATCTCAAGAAACAACTCCATCGCCTAGTGTAAAAATCCACCCATTGTAGATTTATTATAACTAGCACTCGTTATTCAACTAGTATCAAAACATCTCCCCCACAATTCTACCACTTGCCGAACTATCATGGAATAATTCCATTTTATTTTCCATGGTTTTACTTATTAAACTTTCAACCACTACATTGATCTAATTGTTTACCAATGATATGAACTAATTAGATTAGTATACCACAAACAATTCAGATATTATTAGAAATAGAATCTAATTACTTACCAATGGAATTAGTCAAGGTAACTTGAGATGCCACAAGTAATTCAGTTGCATTTCGAGATTGTATTGGAAATACCATCTAATTACTTACCAATGACAATAATCAAGGTAACTTAACATACCACAAGCAATTCAAATGAATATTCTAAATCAATGGTCTAATTACTTACCAATGGTATGAACTTCATAAATATACCATAAGTAATTCAGACTTTAAGTTTAATACGACCATCTCAATTGAGCTCTCATGCCAAATTGTTTTCCAATAGTATAGTGTACATATACCATAAACTATTCTGGCAATGATTATTTTGATGATCACCATCCTTTGGCAAGCTTTTTCAATCCCTATAAGGATCCATCTTAGTTTCATTTTCCTTGCCCTCATGGCTATGAAACATGAAGTCATAAACCAATACATGATAAACAAATTATCATGTCAGGGGAAGGCTTTTCACCATAATTTCAATTTACTTCAAGATCATAACTCAAACAATTTTGTTACATAAACCAAATTGTTGCATCTTGCAAGCATAAAAAATTTAAACTCTTACAAATTTTGATGACAAAATTTGTTACAAGAATTCAATGTGAATACTTCCAAATTCAAACACAATTGAATTTTCTTGAACTCTTCTCATAATATGAATTATGAGTTTGTTACCATCTCAAATACTACAAAAATATTTGGTATCACTTAACCAAACAGAATTGGTTCATCATATTTCCTTGCACACAAATTGCATCATGAACATGACCAAACCATGCACAAATCATGAAAGCAAATACGTAGGAAATTAATTCTGTCAATGAAACTTTTAATTTCATACAACAATAGACATGGCAAATTTGCTTAGAATAATCCACTCCATTGCACTATCGGAGATATCACTTTGCATGCCATAGAGGTCCATTAATCATGCCAAATCACACTTTATATACATAATATACGTTCTCCTCTCAAACAAAAGAAACAAAGGTTAATTTAACCATATCACTTGTAACAGAGAACAATCCATAGCAACGTTTCATTCCAAACAGGGGCATATAGATAAAAACCCATAACAGAAGCATCCACTGCAAGTTCTTATGACGTTTCATGGATGGGAATCAAATGACCAATAAGAAAAAATGGCCAGTTAAGATGCATAACATATCTTGCCATCTAAATCAAGCCCACTGATCTCAACACCGATAATTATAAAGGAACAAGGTGTTACCGGTTCTAGGGATGCCGAGCTGCTTTTTTCTTTTCGACATGGAGCAACAAGTAGAAGCAAATTGGATCATTCCATCTTTTCTTCCTTTTCAGTACTGGATCCGTATGCATTGATTCCTCATCCATCCGGATGGTACAGGAATTGAGTTCTTCTCTCTAATTAACCATTCAAATTTATCCGAATTTGTGATTCAGAATCCATTTGTTTATTGTATACGCCTTCAACGTACTCTCCACTTCAGAATCCATTTTTGAGAAATAACACTCTAAGATTGTTAGGGAAACGGTAGGAAAGAATCGATCGAAGGCGTGATTAATCACTCTCCTTAGAGTGTTATTTGCCCCCACTACAAATTGCTGGTAGGCTCGAGCAAACCACCCCCAGGAGTCCCTTCAATTTTAAGTCTGGAAGCAGCAATCTTGCAGACTTTTGTGTTTGCGAAATAGAGAAGGAAAACCGGAAGAAGAAGTAATCTCTCGTTATCAAAAGAGTTATGGCAGCCATCTATTTATAGTAGTGAAACTGGAAGTTACCTTCCGAAGAGACACATCCTTTCACATAAAAGGTAGTTACCTTTCCCGAAAGGACACATCCTTTCACAGAAAAAGGGAGTTACCTTTATGGAAAGACACTTCTTTTCACAAAATTCAAACGTTTAATTAATTAATTAAACTTCCAAAAGACTCCATCTTTATACTTTACTTCTCCCATCAATGTCGTATTACAACTCTATTGACTAACTCTAACAGAAATTTAGTCCATTGGTCGGTCGACGTAACTTCGTCGTCGTCCGTCTATGGCGGGATCAGCCGGGATCAGCATTGCACCTAAGTCTTTTTTTTTTTTTTTTTTTTTTGGTGCATACATTACACCTTAGTCAAGTCCGCAAATCTGATCAAAATCTAAAATACTGATAGGTCATAGGTTAGAACAAAAGTTGGATTTGAGTATTTTCACACATGTCCTTTACAAATAAACCTCCTTCATGAAATTTGAATCAAGTATATCATGTTTATTAGTTTCAGTTAAATAATACACCAATGAATTACAAGAAAATTTGTTATACATATTAACGTTACATATTATATAGCTAGTTTTATATTTTACATAAATCATCATAAATATTAATAAAATTTATTTTTATACTTTTATTTTTATGTATCTAAATATTAATTATTAGTTACCAATTACTAATTATAAATTATTTTGTGTGAATCAACTCTTTTTGTTGCTTCTTCATCACTAATTTGGTATTGATGGTTTCTATTTTTCTCATGTATTTTATTATAACATACAAAAATACTAGTTGTACCACGGTCGAATCATTCCCTATTGGGTATAAGCACGACATGACACAGTAAAATATATTTTTATAGAAAGTAAATATAAAATAAATTATAACCATAAATATTATAAAATATAACCATAAAAATAATGATGTATGTTGTTAGAAGTGATCATAAATAAATATATGTATGTAATTACTACCATAAATAAAAATGGTCGAAAGATGTAATAATTATGTGGAGGCCAATTCACACCCGCTAATCGTTATACTTCCAATTTTCTTCTTCCCATTATTTGTTACTTTTCTCAAACATTTTCAAGTAATATTTTCATTCCCCATCCAATTTCCCCCTTTTTCATTTTATTTCTTTTCATTAAGAGCAAATATGAGTATGATACAAGAACGAGTAGGCACGACACGATTAAAATCATGCATGGGGCTGGACCGAGTACAGTAAATTTGAAAAATGAGCTGACACAGCATGACAAGAAAATTGACGAACTGTGTCAAGCACGACACCAGATGCACCACGTCCCAGTTACAAGTTGATCCTGATTAATTATGCCTTTCTTAATCTTCAATTTTTCTCTATAGAAATTCCGTAATCTTTTTAATTGTAGTTTTCCCGAAGATTTGTTCTGGGACCATCCATATCGGCTACCTTTTGCCAATTGCATCCTGATGTGGATTGAATTCACATGGATACTCTTACGTGTTTTACTATAAAAAAAATGTTTTTATATAAATGGATGCAAGCATCCTAACTTTCATTCATAACCAAACC